AGTGCCGTTAAAACTGATTTATCCAAATTGCGAACAAAATAGCTCTAAACGATATCAGCTAAACAAATTCTATCTTAGTTCATTTTGGCTGGCTCTAAAATTACAAACAAGCTTTAAAACGTTATAGTTTTTTTTAAAGTCGAAATTGTAAACGAGTTTACCAAGGCATTTTTAATTATCGCTGGTCGTTTTTGTTAGTGCTCTATAACATTAATATGAATAGTGAACGTGCGTAACTGCAYGCGCTCTCAACTTAGCATAAAAGTTAAGTAATTTTTGTTTTAGAATATGGAACTGAAACAACTCTTTACTATTAAAAAAACTAGTGAAGTTTAAAAAGAGACGAGTTTGATAGCTTTTAAAACATTTTTAGTTGCTGTTACCAGGGTTCGTGCTACTTTCTCGTTACAAAATTCAAGGACTTTTTAAGCACTTTTCAAGCACAAAACTTCGAGTTTCAAGGACAAAGTTTTTTGTATTAGAACGTGGTTTTAAACATTGTTTCATTGTTAAAGTGCAGCTAATTCATCCGGGGTCACAAGCTTATATAGATAAAAAACGAGCATGACACGCAACCAACCAACTAAACAAGCAACCAGAAACTCTTCTATCAATTTTAATCGTTATTTATTTTAAAAGGAAAGTTAGAAATAACATTCAGTTTGTACTAAATTCAAGGAGTATTCCAGGAGTTTTGGCGTTTTCCCCTATTTCCAAGGGCTTTTCAAGCGCCCTTGAAAACGTGTTTTCAATTAAAGGACTTTTCAAGGATTTCAAGGAGTAGCACGAACCCTGCGTTACTTAAAAGCATCATAAGCTTAAATTGAAAGGCTTATTCTAGTCCGAACTCCTCTGGAATAAAATTACGCAAAGCTCCAACGTTACAGAAAAAATAAAGAACTATTATAGTAACAATAAATAGTCTTAAATGAGAGTACCTTTCGTTTTCTGGTCTCCTAACAGTATTGTTTTGTGTGCGTCTTCTTGCACGAGTCTTGCTTTCAAGTGAAGAGAACGGACTGATGAACAACATGTTTTCTAACATTCTATGGCAAGAAGGAAGTGCTGTGTCCAGCCAGTGCGAAGTAAACCTTGAAGTATTGAAGTTTTGTTTCTTTTAGAACAGAAAAGACACCCAACACTCCCAACATAAACGTCAAAGGTCAAACGGCACACGAAAAGAGAAAGATTTTTTGGGGGTCTTGGATTTTTAAACGTGGCGCTCAAACCAAAAAACCGGTTTTTCAAGTTTCCACCTCGTTTTATCCAATCAGAGGGCCAATCAATCCGTACAAATAACCGGAAATAGATCTGCTTCTT